TTGATGGACATCTGAGGTGTTTCTACTTTTTGAATATTGTGAATATGACTGCTAGGCACATAGACGTACACGTTTTTTTGAACTCCTGTTTTCAATTCTTTTGGGTCATATGGTAACTCCATGTTTAACTTTTTGAGGAAGTGCCAAACTGTCTTCCATAGCAGCTGCACCATTTACATCCCCAGAGCAATGTAGGACAGCTCCAACTTCTCCACATTCTCACCGACACTTATTATTCTCCATTTTTGACACCATTTAGTAGGTGTAAAGTGGTGTCTCACTGTGGTTTTGATTTGCATTCCCCTAATGACTAATGATTTGGGGCATCTTTTCATGGGTTTATTGGCCTTTTTTTTTTTTTTTTTTTTTTTTTTAAAGACAGTATCTTGCTCTGGTGCCATGCTGGAGTGCAGTGGCACAATCTCAGCTCACTACAACATCAAACTTCCAGGTTCAAGCAATTCTCCTGCCTCACTCACTGAGTAGCTAGGACTACAGGTGCACACCACCACACCCAGCTAATTTTTGTATTTTTAGTAGAGATGAGGTTTCATCACATTGGCCAGGGTGGTCTCTATCTCCTGACCTCATGATCTGCCCACCTCGGCCTCCCAAAGTGCTGAAGTTACAGGTGTGAGCCACCACAGCTGGCCGGCCATTTCTTTATCTTCTTTGGAGAAATGTCTATTCAAGTATTTTGCCTGTTTTCTCTTGGGTTGTTTGTCCTTTTGCTGTTGAGTTGTAAGAGTTCTTTATATATTCTGGATCCTAGATCCTTATCAAACAATATGATTTGCAAATATTTTCTCCTATTCTGTAGGTTGTCTACTTACTTTCTCGATAGAGTTCTTTTATACAAAAAAGTTTCTAATTTTGATGAAGTCCAATTTTATCTTTTATCTATTTATTTATTTTATTATTATTATTTTTGAGACAAAGTCTCCCTCTGTAGCCCAGGCTAGAGTGCAGTGGTGCAATCTCAGCTAGCTGCAACCTCTGCCTCCCAGGTTCAAGTGATTCTCTTGCCTCAGCCTCCCGAGTAGCTGGGATTACAGGTGCCCACTACTACACCCACCTAATTTTTGTATTTTTAGCAGAGATGGGGTTTCACCATGTTGGCCAGGCTGGTCTCAAACTCCCAATCTCAGGTGATATCCCACCTCGGCCTCCCAAAGTGCTGGGATTACAGGCATAAGGCACTGTGCCCAGGCCAATTTTATCTTTTATCTTTTGTTGCTCATGCTTTTGATGTCCTATCTAAGAATCCACTGCCAAATCCAAGGTCATGAATATTTTCCTCTATGTTTTCTTCTAAGAACTTTATAGCTTTAAGCTCTTATATTGAAGTCATTGATCTATAGTCTGAATTAACTTTGGTATATGGTGTGAAGTAGGGGGTCCTATTTCATGGAAATATCCAGTTGTCCCAAGCACCATTGGTTGAAAAGAACATTCTGTGGTTATATGGGTTTTTATATGAGCTCTCAATTTGATTTCACTAATCTATTGTTTTACTTTAAATCTGAAATAATTACTGTTTTCCCTTAAGAGTAAAGGGCAAGAAAGGAAGTGGGTTCAGAAAGTACATTACTCTTTCAGGAAATTTAATTATGTTGAAAAGGAAAGAGAAAGGGCACAGCCAGAGGGGAATGAGAAGCATTTGCCTTGCATCTCTCATATGCTCCACAGTACACTAGATGATTTCATTTCATTTCATTTCATTTCATGCTCAAATTCTTCAATATTACTTTGGTTCCATAAAAAAGGAAACTAAGATTCAGTGACATTAACATTTTGCCCATGGTCACACACTGTGCTGAATGGCAGAGCTAAAACTGTACCCTAGATCTGTTTGATTGTATATTCTGTATTTTTCCCTCTCTATTATTTTGTGTCCAGTTTTGGACATGACTTTACAGTGCCTTGGGACCTACAGAGAGAGAGATCTAGTTTACATTTAAAAATATAGTACTAGGCTGGGCGCGGTGGCTCATGCCTGTAATCCCAGCACTTTGGGAGGCCGGGGCGGGTCGATTGCCTGAGCTCAGGAGTTCAAGGCCAGCCTGGGCAACACAGTGAAACCCTGTCCCTACTAAAATACAAAAAATCAGCCGGGTGTCGTGGCACGCGCCTGTAATCCCAGACACTCAGGAGGCTGAGGCAGGAGAATCGCTTGAACTCGGGAGGCAGAGCTTGCAGTGAGTTGAGATCATACCACTGCACTCCAGCCTGGGCAACAGAACAAGACTCTGTCTCAAAATGAATAAAAAAAAATAAAAAATAGTACTGAGGCTCAGAAAAGAACTGAGATTTGAGATAAAACATAAAAATAATCGGCACACAAGTGTAGTTAAAGCCAGGGAGTGGAAGAGATCACTTGATGCCGAAGACAATATGAAAAGGCTTAGGTTTAGGCTTCAATTGGATGGAATCCCAGGACACGTCAACATTCAAGAATTAGAGCAGAATAAAATGAGATTCAGGAAGGACTAGAAGGAAAACTCAGTATTGACTTCACTACCTGCCAGTGGCAAATCGAACTTGTTCATCTCTATATCTCCAGCATCTAACGTTGATGGTGAATAATGGATGCTCAGTAAATATGTTAAATAAATATCTGAATGACACTGAAACTGAAGAAGAAAGTTTCCAGGAGACTTTTAGAGAATAGTCAATGCTTTTGAAAAGACAATGAAAGATAAGGTTTAAAAAGTAACCACTTGATTAGGCAACAAAAAAGTCAACCCAACCAGAAGAACACTAAGCAGAGTAACAGATAAAAGACTGTAGTGGGTTGAGTAGTGAACAGGAAGTGAGGAAGAAAAGAGAGCACGTATAGACCATTCTTTTTTTTTTTTTTTTTTTTTTTTTTTTTTGAGACAGAGTCTCGCTCTGTTGCCTAGGCTGGAGTGCAGTGGCCGGATCTCAGCTCACTGCAAGCTCCGCCTCCCGGGTTTACGCCATTCTCCTGCCTCAGCCTCCCGAGTAGCTGGGACTACAGGCGCCCGCCACCTCGCCCGGCTAGTTTTTTGTATTTTTAGTAGAGACGGGGTTTCACCATGTTAGCCAGGATGGTCTCGATCTCCCGACCTTGTGATCCGCCCGTCTCGGCCTCCCAAAGTGCTGGGATTACAGGCTTGAGCCACCGCGCCCAGCCACGTATAGACCATTCTTTTAAGAATTTTGATGTAGAGGAATAAGAGAAATAAGTCAGTAGCTAGAGAGCTGGCCAGAGTTACACAAATTTTTGTATTTTCAGATAAGAGACATTTCAGCTTGTTTGTGAATACAGATATCACTGGAAGCATTAGATTAACAACTTAGTTTTCAAGCAGCTGTAGATTTATTTGTAATATTTTAAATACTATATATGCGCAAAGTAATTTTTCTAGGGGGGAGTTTATTATACTTAAAAAAGAAATTTCTAAGTACACCTATTTATATTGGCAGTTTACACTAATCTGAAGAAATCAATGAATAAAGTAATAATAAAAATCCTCTCCAAACAATAGAAACGACTATTTTGAAACACTGCTAGAAAAGGAAACTGGAACTAATTCTGGTAATAAAATAATTCATTGCCAACATGGCGAAACCCCATCTCTACTAAAAATACAAAAATTAGCCAGGCGTGGTGGTGCACGTCTGTAATCCCAGCTACTGGGGAGCCTGAGGCAGGAGAATCACTTGAACCCGGGAGGCAGAGGTTGCAGTGAACAGAGATCGCGCCACTGCACTCCAGCCTGGGCAACAAGAGCGAAACTCCATCCCCTGCCACTAAAAAAAAAAAAAATTGTTTCATTCCCAGCATAGATACCTCATCCAAGAGGAAAAGATATCTGGGATCAGAGGTTTGAAATGCTATTTTATTTACTCTACAAAAAAATTTTACATTTCATATTTTTGCAAGTATTTTCAGTATTTTAATTTAGGTTTCTCAATGTGCTTTTAAAAATTTATATGTAACATACAAAACTGTTTCTAGTCAGCTTTTTACTATTTGTTTTTTATAAATTATTGTTTAGATACCTTTCGATTAGGCTTGATTAAAAAATAAGAAAACGTGAACATTACTAAGCCACAAAAGGCAAAATACAAACTAAAATAGGAATTACCAGGCAGGGTAGCTTTCCAACAAGTTTGAACAAATGGGAAAAAATATAGAGTGGGCATGGAGCAGATTAAAATACACTTTCTAGCCATGGCCACTAGATGGTGCAAACATTTTGCAGGACTTAAACTAAATGCCTTAAGCACTCAAAGTTTTTTGTTTTGTTTTGTTTTGTTTTTTTGAGATGGAGTCTTAACTTTGTCGCCCAGGCTGGAGTGCAATGGCGCAATCTTGGCTCACTGCAACCTCCGTCTCCTGGCTTCAAGTGATTCTCTTGCCTCAGCCTCCTGAGTAGCTGGGATTACAGGCGTGTGCCACCACACCTGGCTAATTTTTGTATTTTTAGTAGCGATGGGGTTTCACCAGGTTGGCCAGGCTGGTCTTGAACTCCTGACCTCAGGTGATCCGCCCACCCCAGCCTCCTAGAGTGCTGGGATTACAGGCGTGAGCCACTGCACCCAGCCTCAGCGCTCAAAGGTTTAAGAATATCTCCAAAAAAATTAAATGCCTTGCTTCAAGGAAGAAGTGGACATTTTTTTGTGCTATCTGGGAGTGTAGGAAAATTTATGTATGTATGTGTTTTTGTTGTTTTATATTTTGCTTTTTCAGCATAAATGTTTTGAGCTTGTATGTTCTTCAAAGATATTTTAGCCTCTCTGAGTCAACAGCATCCTGCCTGCACGTGGCTAAATGGCACTGGGGGTGATGATGGCATATGTCTTCATGGTCTTAGAACTAACTCAATTCCAGTATTTCTACAGAAACAAAATAGTGTATAAGTGAAGTACTACAAGAAAAATTACATCCCCAAAATATTGGTAGTGTGAAAAATACTAAATTCCTGGTCTAATATGCTAGGAGTCCCTACTGAGCAAAAATGGGTACTTACTTGAATTAGGGGGCCAGGACTCCCGGTATTCACTACCTACTTGAGTTCTGGGTGACTTGACTCGAACCTGGGGAGCCACATAAAAATCACAAGAGTTATGATCAATGGGAGAACTTAACCAAGAAATTTAAATCATAAAAGTGTGCTTAAAATACTACATATTTTTCTACCACCTCTTCCACAACATATAAAATCGAATATATTTATCCTAACAATAATAATATATATGAAAGGCTCTCTGGTTTCCAATGTATTTTCCATATATTTTCTCATCCAATGCCAAGCTCATTCAGGGGTAGGTGGGAGGGGAAGAAGCAGTAAAGGGAGACCCTGTGGGGTCAAGAGCCACAATCCTTACACAGCTACAGTTGCTGGGAGCCAGTGTGACCATGAACTCCTTCTCTGGATTGTCATACCATAATGAATAGTCAGTTCCACTGAGAGAAAAACTAATAGAGAAAAACAACTCTAACCTTTAACAGGGTCTTGTATCTCTTCACCCTGCCTTCATCTCAATTAACATTCTTAAAACCCGGCTTTCTCAGGAGCTTGCCTAAGAGAGACACCACAGCAAGAAGGTTACCTTTCTTTCTTGTTTCTTCTGCGTCTCCATAACGTGCAGGCGCTCCATGAGGCTGGAGATGCCCTGCTCCAAGCTGTCAATGGTGTGGTGCTGAGGATCGTGCCCACTGAAGCTGTTGCGCAGGCTGCGGAGAGCATCTCGAACAAGCTGCAGGTCGCTGGTCTGTGGGCAAAAATAAGGTGCTGCTGGCATGGCCCGGTGCCACATCCCAACCGTTGGGCTGAAGTTTCCAGAAGAGATTTTGTTTCCCCCACAGAAGCAGGCCTATGGTTTCTCCACTAATTCTTAATTTTGTATAGCAAGTGCCTCACATCTTTACACACTCCACAGACCCAGGAATTAGGGAACTGGAATATAAAAGGCCTCATCCACTGGCCGTGGGTTTGGCACTCTTTGGTTTCAGTGAGAAATGGCAGGTCTCTGTCAATCCAGGTACCTACCCCTCTGTTGCTGATTGAAGCAGCTCCTTTTCCTGCTGTTGGAAGGAGAAAACCATTGCTTTGAGAGTTGTGACTGTTGTAGTTGGTCACCTATAGCAGCATGAAGAAATGTTGCTTGTTAAAGGGAGAATTGTAAACCAGATGTGCTGTCTTATTTTTCTTCTTTACATTTATCAGTTCCTGACGAAGTATATAATTGTCTGTTTAATGGCTCTCTTTATTAAAATGTATTGTTCTTAAGTATAGATTTTTTCCCCCTTTTGGTCACTGCTGTATGCCCAGCACTTGACACTTAGTATGCATTGTTGGATGTGAATGAAGGAAATGCTAACCTCCACCTGGAGGCCACAACCTAGCCTCTGCCACAGCACTGGAGAGCCTCAGAATGCTGCTCCAGCACTGCCTGGCTTTGCTTCAGTAATTTAAAAATAATGGTGAATATATATATAGATGTTTTGTTTCGTTTTTTGGGACAGAGTCTTGCTCTGTCACTCAGGCTGGAGTGAAGTGGCACAATCTCAGCCTATGGCAACCTCTGCCCCTCCCTGGGTTCAAGCGATTCTCCTGCCTCAGCCACCTGAGTGGCTGGGACTACAGGCCCGTGCCATCTTGCCTGGCTAATTTTTGTATTTTTAGTAGAGACAGGGTTTCACCACGTTGGCCAGGCTGGTCTCAAACTCCTGACCTCAAGTTAGCCACCTGCCTTGGCCTCCCAAAGTGCTAGGATTACAGATGTGAGCCACTGTGCCAGGCCATGGTGAATATTTTTTGAGTCTGACTCTATGCCAAGTGGATCCAACAGGACTGTCCTTAGTTATGTGGATTACCTCATATATTTTTCATAATGATGGACTGAATCACTATTATTTCCATTTTCCAAATAAGCCCTATTTCTACGGTTCAGAAGATAAGCAACTGAAGGCCACACAACGTAGGAGTGGTAAAGGTAGAACGTGAAACCAGATTTTCTTATTCTGGAACCTGTACTCTTAACTAGCTCATCATAGAGTCTCCTAACAAACGAGCCTGTGGCCTTGGTTCAGCTCTGAGTCAGAAACACCATCGCCCCGTTTGCTTCATAAATGTGGGAGGGAGAACACAGGGTCTAGGTTACCTCATCTGCCTCTCTTTTCATACAGTGAGCCAAGAGGACATCTTTGTGTTCTAGCTCTCGCTCTAGATCCACCTGCAAAACAGACACTAAATCAGAAAAGGATTTCTTTGGGCCAAAGGGGCAGGAGAGTCAGTGGCTGAATATGTTCTGACCTGGTGGTAACTGGCATCAGAGAGTTTCCGGAGTGCTTCTTCTAACTTGGCCTGGTGCTGCTGAAGGAGGCGATCCTTCTGCCCCAGCTCTTTCTGCAATAGAGATAGAGCTTTCAGATGAGTGGCAAAACCAGGGGCACTGAAAAGTTCGCCCTCTGTAATATAACTTCCACTCAAGTAAAGTAGAGCCTCAGGAAAAGAAAGTCCTTTCCTTAAAATATACCAGGAAGACTTTACGCACCATAATAGTCTTACATAGTGCAAAGGATTCTTCAAGAGTAATGAAGAAGGGAACTGTCATTTGTAGGAGGACCAGTATGAGCCATTCATACTAGTCAGAGATAAAGGTAAGACTAGAACTGAAGTTTCTAGACCCCTAGTCCTGTACTCCCTCTCCTAGCTGTGCCATCTATTCTTCAGGGCTAGTGCATCAGGGGACACAGAAAAATGCTTCCTTCTAAAAAGCAAGGATAAAAAAAAATTAAAAAGCAAGGATGAGAATAGAATACTTAAGTGCTTTTTGAGAAACAATAATGGGCTGTTCATGAAAGGTCAGTGGAAGGCATTTCCAAACTGATATTCACTCTTACTTTATATTCTCCCAAGAGCCGGTTCCTCTCATCTAGCTTCCTCTGCAGATCCACCTGCAAGGATAAGAAAGAATTAATGGCATGCAGGTACTGCCTGCTAATCCTCAAGGAAACCAGCTACTTAGTAACCATAGTTAATGCTGGCAGTTACAGTATGCAGCACAGAGAGGGTATGATGGTAAAAATACACAGCTGCTCTCCATGTTGTTAGTGAAGTAATTAGACTGTAGAACCACAATTTTGCCTCGGTATCTCAGTGTCCTCAAAGTTGAAGAGGAGATCAAGGACCTTCCTGCCCAGTATGATGTGGGCTTTCACCTAGGAACAGAGATGAGTCTAATGGGGAATAAAAATAATTGCAGACACTTAGGGCAGGCATCCCAGAAGCAAGATAAGAGATTAGGATGGCCAGTCTAATAGCACTTCATGCACTAACCTGTTCTGCTAATGGGGCTCACTGAGGTCAAGGCTCATTCATTTAACTCACATTCTGGTTGTGCAGCTCATCTTTGTCCATATTTGCCCTCAGTAGCTCTTGTTTGAGCTGAAGAACAGATGTGTCCTGCTGAGTCAATCTCTGCTGCAAGGCATCCTAGGGGAAAAAGCACACTAATTATTGTTGTCTCAATTCATCAATCAGCCAGTTGTTATTACAAATTACTAAACCCTTTAATGTGTTTCCAGCATTCGTTATGGCAGACTGGAAGACAAATGGAGTAAAAGGGTCTTGCCACGAGTTGCTGAGAAGGGGTTTTTTTCTGTCCCCCTCTAGGAAACTGGCATCCAGAGCAAAATCCTTTCCACTATTCTATGAAACTTACTGAAACCTGATTTTTTTCTCTGCTTACTATTCGTCCCCACCCTCAATCCTGATAGCATGGTGTATTCGAGAGAGAATGACTGGACTTTGGGATCAGATAGACATAGATTGAAATTATAAAGCTACCACTTACTACTTTTGTGATGTTAACCTTGGACAATGCACTCTATTTCTCCCACCTGGGCTTTCTCATCTATATCTTGGGCATATAAATACTCAATCTAGAGTAGCTCTTTTTCCCTCTACCTCTCTTCCCAGTCCCCATTTCCTGGAGAGATGGGCCCTATTCATCCGCCACTCTGTTGTTAAAGAATCCCTGAAATCACTCCCAGGCTGGCTTCCAGAGCCTTGCTGCTAACCTGCTTCCAATGGCTTCCAATGCCTAGTCTGGACCAGGATTAGAATTATCTTTCCACTGAGCAGAACTGTTCTTTGATTCATGATTCCTCTTCCCAATTTCCTAGGATCTTAATAGCATTAGGCTTTCTTTCCCTCGGCTTGAACCTCTTGGTTCCTATCATGCCTAACAAAAGGTGAGCTGGATATCCTTGCTTATAAGGACAGTTATGACACATTCCATCAACCATGGTGGCTTCAAATAGAACTAATGGACTAGGGCTGCATTCTAATATATTTGTCGTGACTTTTCTCTCTTTACAGACTGCAAAGAAATGGTACAGACTATGAAGAATGTGGGAGCCCATTCTTAATTATACTCTCTGCCATGACAGTACATAGTAAAGGAAGTCTAAGATACCCTTGGCATCAGTAGTTCAAAGGAATATTTCCCAAAGTGTGCTCCATGGGACATTAATGTGCCACATGACATTACATGGAAGAAAAGACACTTCTGTGGTTATTAATTCTAAATCATTTTTAGGCCAACCTCTTTACGACAGACCTTTTCAGATCCTTTATTTGTTGTTAGTCACAGTGAGTCTTCAAGACTGCAGAGCATTTCTCAAATTTATCTGACCATGGAACACATTTGTTTTTTAAAGTGTTTCAAAAGTACTAAGCCTACAAAATATACTTTGGAAAATGTTGCTGAGTGATAACTCTAGTCTAGCCCATCAATGGATGTGCAAGGAAGAGGGGAAAAGCAGCAATGTAAAAACATCCTCTTCTACTTCTAGGTTTTATTCCACAGATATACTCCCATTTGGGTGGAATAACATATATTCAGGCTGGACACGGTGGCTCACGCCTGTAATCCCAGCACTTTGGGAGGCCAAGGCGCGCGAATCACGAAGTTAGGAGTTTGAGACCAGCCTGGCCAATATGGTGAAATCCTCTCTCTACTAAAAATACAAAAATTAGCTGGGCGTGGTGGCACACGCCTGTAATCCCAGCTACTTGGGAGGCTGAGGCAGGAGAATTGCTTGAACCTGGGAGGCGGAGGTTGCAGTGAACCGAGATCATGCCATTGCACTCCAGCTCTGGGCAACAGATCAAGACTTCGTCTCAGAAAAAACAAAACAACTTATATTCAAGGCTGTTAGTTAGATCATTGTTTATATTAGCAAAAACTAGAAATTTTCATATATAATAAATTATTTAGCATATATATGTATGTATACAGTGGAAAACAATGGAATATGATACAGCCATAAAAAAAGACCTAGGAAAGTCTTTAGGTACTACTGACATAGAATGAGCTCGAAGATATACTACTAAGTGAAAAAAAGCAAGGTGTCAAGTTGTATTTCTGGTACACTACTATTTGGGTAAAACCGTGGGGGAAAATGATACACACACATATGTGCTGATAACTATTAAGATGCCTCTAGGAGGTCAGGCGTGGTGGCTCACACCTGTAATCCCAGCACTTTGAGAGGCCGAGGCGGGTGGATCACCTGAGGTCAGGAGCTCAAGACCAGCCTGGCCAACACGCTAAAACCCAGTCTCTACTCAAAATACAAAAAGTAGCTGGGTGTGATAGTGCACACCTGTAATCCCAGCTACTTGGGAGGCTGAGGCAGGAGAGTCACTTGAACCTGGGAGGTGGAGATTGCAGTGAGCCAAGATCACGCCACTGCACTCCAGCCTGGGCAACAGAGTGAGAGTCCGTGTCAAGATTAAAAAAAAAAAAAAGAAAAAAAAGATGCCTCTAGGAAAGAGTACTAGGTGACTGAGGGGACAGCTGGCAGGCAGACTTTTCATGGTTTATCTTTTTATACCTTTAAAATTATTTGAATGTTAGTTAACTATTCAAAAACAAAGTAAATAACAATTTTTTAAAGGATATTCTTTTTTATTTTTCTTTTTTTTTGAGACGGAGTCTCGCCTTGTCACCTAGGCTGGAGTGCAATGGAGTGATCTCAGCTCACTGCAACCTCCTCCTCCTGGATTCAAGCGATTCTCCTGCCTCAGCCTCCCAAGTAGCTGGGATTACAGGTGCTGCCACCACGCACAACTAATTTTTTTGTATTTTTAGTAGAGACGGGGTTTCACCATGTTGGCCAGGCTGGTCTCGAACTCCTGACCTCGTGATCTGCCCGCCTCGGCCTTCCAAAGTGCTGGGATTACAGGCATGAGCCACGGCGCCCGGCCCTAAAGGACATTCTTTCACATTGAAGAGGGTTCTTTTACATACAGAGACAATCAAGGTGGCACAGATGGAAACGGCAGCACCGTGAATCATAACCACTAGAAATAAGCCTCAGCAAGTCAAAGGTATATTCCTCGACATGTCTCACTTCCCTCCCACAAAGCCCTTTCCTTACCAATAGCACAGAGCTACTAAAGGTCCACAGAAAATTCCACCTCTCACCACTCACCAGTAGACTACTTTACATTGCAGAGACTTTATTTAAAGAATTAAATGTCTTCTTTTTTACCTTTATCCCCTGTAAGTTTCTGGCTTCTTGTTTACATTTCAGCAGCTCCTTCTGCAAACCAAATATAGTTAGATCAGATGGTGACATCTGGGTTGCTTCAGACTGCATTACCTCATTCTGTCGGCAAGAGGACAAAACCCAGTTGATCATTCCATGAAAAATTAACCCTCTACTAAGGCAGACAACAGCTCTGGTCCAGTGAGCAGTACAGGCTAATCCACAGAAACAAGAAGAGAACCATTCTGTTCTTCTCTGTTGGCACCCAGGCTCAACTGCTCAGGTAGAGAAGAGTTGCCAAGAAAGAAGATACCCCATCATTCCCACAGGCTCTCATTTCTATATTTAGCAATCTTCACCAACAGGAAAACCTAATTATAATAATCTAAATCCCTCTCACTAAATATATGATATCTAAATATGCCTACCCCCAATGTCATTAAATAATTATCTCTATTCTTAATGTTCAGCAAAGGGTTGGAGTGTTTCTTTGTGAGTCAAACAAAAACACATTTCAACTAATAATGAAATACTGAGTAATTAACATTCCCTTACAATAGATAAAATATATGTACACGATTGTCACTAGGAAATAGATTTTAGAAGGGGAACAACCATAACCCAGACCCCGATCTCTTCTCTTCCTATTGTATCACATCAAGAGTTTGCAATTAACATATCTAAAATGGGGATCTGTAAATTGGACTCCACAGATAGGCTCAAAAGTTGCTCTATTAGGCTGGGAACAGTGGTTCATGCCTATATCCCAGCACTTTGGGAGGCCAAGATGGGAGAATCACCTGAGTCCAGGAGTTCAAGACCAGCCTAGGCAACAAGGCGAGAGCAATCTATACAAAAAACACAAAAATTAGCCAGGCATGGTGGTGCATTCCTGAAGCCCCAGCTACTAGGGAGGCTGAGGTGGGAGGATCGCTTGAGGCTGGGAGGTCGAAGCTGCAGCTAGCCATGATCATGCCATGACATTCAGCCTAGGTGACAGAGACTCTGTCTCAAAAAACAAAACAAAACAAATAAATAAAAGTTGCTCTATTAAAAATTCATGTTGGCCAGGCACGGTGGCTCACGCCTATAATCCCAACACTTTGGGAGGCCAAGGCAGGCGGACCACAAGGTCAGCAGTTCGAGACAAGCCTGGCCAACATAGTGAAACCCCATCTCTACTAAAAATACAAAAATGAACCGGGGATGGTGGCGGGCACCTGTAGTCCCAGCTACTTGGGAGGTTGAGGCAGGAGAATCGTTTGAACCTGGGAGGCGGAGGTTGCAGTGAGCTGAGACCGCACCATTGCACTCCAGCCTGGGTGACAGAGCCAGACTCTGTCTCCAAAAAAAATATTCATGTCTATGAGTATGAGTGCAAACATACATGCATACTTGCAGGGAGAGGGTTAATGGCTTTAGTCATATACTTATGACTGAAAGAAAAGCTAGGAATCACTAACCTAAAATAATTCTGAGAAGTATTTATAAAAAAAGACTGTACTGGTATTAGATACACTTTTTTTTCTTTTAATTAAAGAATAATAACCATGAAATATTTCAAACATACAGAATGGTACAACCAATGACACTGAAATTCTATTACCTACCACCAGGATTAAAAAGGTACTACCTTCCTGACATATTTGGGATGTATCTCTCTCTTTTAAGAAAAGACATAATACAGATACAGGAAAGATTCTAATTCTGAAATCCCTTTCCCTCTTGAAGTTGTGTAACATTCCCATAATGGTTTTTTGTTTTGTTTTGTTTTTTAGATGGAGTCTCGCTTTGTTGCCCAGGCTGGGGTGCAGTGGCACGATCTTTGCTCACTGCAACCTCCTCCTCCTGGGTTCAAGCAATTCTCCTGCCTCAGCCTCCCGAGTAGCTGGGACTACAGATGTGTGCCAGCACGCCCGGCTGATTTTTTGTATTTTTAGTAGAGACAGGGTTTTGCCATGTTAGCCAAGATGGTCTCGATCTCCTGACCTTGTGATCTGCCCACCTCAGCCTCCTGAAGTGCTGGGATTACAGGCGTGAGCCACCGCGCCCGGCCCCCATAATGTTTTTAAGGGGTAAAATATGTATGTCTTGACATACCTTTAAGTCCTGATTCTCCTCCATACTCTGATCCAGACGACTTTGGATTATAATCTGAATATAAGACAAAAAGAGATAGCTAAACACCTATGCTGTGAAGTTCAGAGGCCACTCATTCAACAAATATTTATTGAGCACTACTAGATGCCAGCTCTGTACTGTGGATACAAAGAAGAACCGGAAACAGTTCCTGCTCTCTGATGGAAGCATATGCATCAAGTAGCAGGTAGATCTATGTGGATAAAGCTTAAAATAAGTATGGGTGGGCCAGGCGTGGTGGCTCACATCTATAATCCCAGCACTTTGGGAGGCCGAGGCAGGCAGATCACTTGAGGTTAGGTGTTCGAGACCAGCCTTGCCAACATGGTGAAACCCCACCTCTACTAGAAATACAAAAACTAGCCAGGTGTGGTGGTATACACCTGTAATCCCAGCTACTCGGGAGGCCAAGGCAGGAGAATCACTTGAACCCAGGAGGCAGAGGTTGCAGTGAGCCAAGATCATGCCACTGCACTCCAGCTTGGGCAACAGAACAAGACTGTCTCAAAAAAAAAAAAAAAAAAGAGGAAGTATGGGGTGGGGGTTGGGTGCAGGGGAGGGGGTGGGGTAAAGGGAAGAAGAAATGGCAAGAGATGAAGTTGCAGAGAAATATCAGGGCCAGATCATGAAAGGCCAGTGAGGGCAATGGGGAATCAATGAAAAGTTTTATGCAGAAGGGTGACAAAATGAAGTATGTCTTTAAGGCAAATTATTCTTGCTGTTTTACAAAAAATGAATTAGAGCAAGACAGGAGAGGAATCAGGTAAACCAGTTAGAAGGTTGCTAGAATACTGGATGGAGGCTTGATTTTTAAGTGGCTGTGAGAATGGAGAAAACTGGATAAAGAAATTAGAAATGTAAACTGGTAAAACCTGGTGACTGACTGATGTAGAGGAAAAGGATTAAAAGATAATATCCAGATTTCTATTTGGTGCATTTCGGTATCCAAAACAGATATCCAAAAGGACAAGTAGCTTTGGTGGTTGGGCAGAGGACAGAAAAACTTTAATTTAGGACTCACTGAAATTGAGATGCTTATGGGACTTACAAGTGGAGATAATAAGTAGGCAGTTGCATATTGCATACACACATCTAGAACTCCATAGCGAGGGCTGAGCTGGAAACAAATACATGAGAAGCAAGATGGAAGTGAGTGAAGAACTGGAGGCAGATACTACTGCCCAGGTGAATGTTTAAGACACATGAGGGCCTAGACTGGAATGCTGAGGAACACTAACATTAAACACACAAGCAGAAAAAGAGAAGCTTCAAAGAGAACTTGAATGTAAACTCCGTAAGAGTCGGGTCTTAGGTGTGTTTTGTTGCTACCATATCGCCAGCATGTTGAAATAAGGTCTGGCATATAGTCAGCACTCAATAAATTTTTTTTATTAAATGAATGAAGAAGGAAACAATGTTCAAAAATGTAGGAGGAAAACCAGAACTGGTCAAGGAAGACAGCATTTCAAGAAGACATGAACAGCAGTGTCAAATGCTAAACACAAGTCAAATACATACAAATTTAGTGTCCAGTCACAAAAGATGGAGCTCACCAGTTGTTCCTCGGGATTGACACCTGGTTCACAGAAGGCCAAGGGCCTCTCCTGTTCATCTTCAGGTAAGGATCCGTTGAGCAATAAGGCCTAAATAACCGCAAAGGCAGAACGAAACTTAACTCTCCTTCAGATGACTTAGTGCAGAGTTGAGCTCAGTAAGCTCACCCCTAGTTAAAATCACAACTCAGCTTCCTCAAGAAATTTCATCGGTAATTTTTGCTCCTTCGATACTTCCCATTGCTCACCCTGGGACTAGTTCCTTTCATCAGGTCCATGCTCTGGCTCTTTCAGCTCTCTGGACACCTGACTGCTCTGCTTCAAGGTGCCTTGGCCCCAGAAGAAAATCTAAAAACCTTTCTTTCAAAAGAGACACAACACATTTCAAACTGGAGCTGCTCAAACTCAATTTTACCAGGGAGAAAATGATCTAAAAGCAGTGTAGAATCATCACGGCTTAGAAATGAGTATTATAATGAATTATTTGGAATACATTTGGAGCACTCACTTGGGTTTGTTTGATTTTTGTTTGTTTTACTGATTCTGCATTTTTACTCCCTAAAGCAACCTGTATAGAACAAGAAGGAAAACACATTTGCAGAGAGATGTCCTCATTCATTTCAGCTCTTGACCCAGGCGGTTTTCATTAGAATATAAGTAGGTGGAATGGAGAGGCAGATTTACCATGAAGCTAAGAAAGCTCTAGCTGTAGGACCCCGCATACATTGCCTCTCCCAAGGTCCTGTACCAAATAATAATAATAATAATAAATAATAATTATTATTATTATTATATTTGGAGACAGAGTCTCACTTTGTCACCCAGGCTGGAGTGCAGTGGCCCAATTTTGGCTCACTGCAATCCAGGGTTCAAGCTATTCTCATGTCTTAGCCTCCCAAGTAGCTGGGATTAGAGGCATGCGCCACCACACCCGGCTAATTTTTGTATTTTTGGTAAAGACAAAGGTTTCGCCATATTGCCCAGGCTGGTCTCAAACCCGTGAGCTCAAGCAATCCACCCACCTTGGCCTCCCAAAGTGCTGGGATTACAGGCGTGACCCACCATGCCTGGCCTATTCCTAATTATTATATTCATAATTTTGTAATCTTATTCTTCAAGAAGCCCCCCTGCACACCCACAAATTATATATTTTAGGACTCACAAAACTTGGATCTGTCCCTGCAGGTGAGTATCTATCAGATCAGTGAAAGACTGAAAAATGTGACCCCATTTTATATCTGAAACAATTCTGTCTTGATTCAAAAGAGATGAGTTACAGAAGCTGTTTCCTATTTCAATAAACAACACAAATTCAGGTGGGCGAGGTGGCTCACACCTGTAATCCTAGAACTTTGGGAGGCTGAGGCGGAAGGATCCCTTGACCCTAGGAGTTTGAGATCAGCCTGGGCAACATAGTGGGACCGTCTCTACAAAAAGTTAAAAAATTAGTTGAGCATGATGGCGCATGCATGTGGTCCCAACTACTCAAGAGGCTGAGGTGGGAGAATCACTTGAGCCCAGGAGACCAAGGCTGCAGCGAGCCATGATCATGCCACTGCACTCCAGCCTGGGCAACAGAGCGAGACTCCATCTCAAAAATAAATAAATAAATAAAATCCAGCCAGTGGCTGATCTGCCAAATGCTAATAATAAAATTTGAGTAAGTCAAATGAATTTGGCTATCTCACGTGTCATGGCAACAGGTACAGACACGTGTCATGGCAACAGGTACAAGAAGCCACAGGGCCGCAGGGAGCTAAGGGAGTTCAACATTATGGAAATATCAACGATAATGGCAAACTGTTCAAAGGGTTCTAACTAAGGAATACTAATAAGTCAGAAATCTTGGATGTGGCTTAGCATGCAACTTGTTAATCACTGAAAAGAGTTAAGAAGCCCAGTGGATGCTGTGAGCCCTTTTGTATTCTACAATGGAACTGAATTCTCATTGTGATCATGTGGCTGTGAATTAAAACTCTTCTGTTTGCAGGGAATATTAAGATGCTGACTTTCTGCCTGTCAGTTCTCTTCTCTTTCTGTCTAATCTGCCACCAAATTTCTCCCAGACTAAGAAATGCAAACAAACTTTGAGCCAAACTGATGAATATCTATGTTCATATAATGCAAATCATCCTGGGAACAACCTGGTTGGGTATAATCTCGAAGTATAATCTCCATGACATACTTCCTATGCAAGCAAAACACACACAAAAACATTCCATTAACGTATTCGTTAATGGAGTGGCAGAAAAGAGATCTAAAAGGTCTCATAAGCCAGCCATTTTAAAACTACAGAGCAAATGAAGTTTGGGAATGTTTATGCAGGAAACATTCCTCCCACACTTCTCAGTTCCTGGGGCATACATTATGCAAATTGCTTTACCATAGCACCAATCTCCTTTTTTCTTTAGGAACCCTTTGTGTCCCCACCCTGTTGCAGGCTAGCTGGGAGCACGCCCTCCACCGCCTGCCGGCTGCCAGAGCCACACACATAATGTGGGCTTTGTTTATGTGTCCATAAATATTTGACAATTCAGAAGCACTGCAGTTCCCAGCACAAACAGAAAGGAATATTCCTAGGCAATTTCAGGGTCATCAGCACCCTATAAGGACTCCCCCAAACAGAGACAGACACACAAAGACAGGAATGAGGGGGTCACTCAGGGTCACTATGTCAAGTGGGTCAGTCTCTGGGGTAGATTTGCCAAGCTGGCACCTACAGGTATAGGAAAAACTGAAGGGCTTTTGTTGCTCAAAGAAAACCTCTTCTACCTGACCATTATGCCTTGGCATCCATTTGCACATGTATTAGGAGTGAGCTAAATCCCTTAGCTAAACTCAAATGGAAACCTGGCAGCATTACTGGCTCTTACACTCTTCCTGCTACAGAATTCCTAGAAGAAAATTCCTGACTATTCACAGTGCTATTCTTTGGTGAAAGCTGCAATTGCAGGTCGACAGCCACATACTGCGTAGAAGCCTACCTACGTAGCAGAGCTCAACAATAAGGACTTGATAGGGATCAGTAATGGCTCCTGGGCTTGCTGAAATCTTTAGCACTCTGCTATGAATGGCAGCCCACAAAGTCCATTTAAAGTACTCAAATATAAGGAATTTTCTGCTCTTTCTGTACTACTCCCTATATCTAAACTCCTCACTCAGTTCTGACCTCCTACAAAACTAAAATCAGTTTATTTTCAATTGATAATAGTGACTTAATAATCAATTGGTATAACAAGGGCAAACTACAAGGGCAAGAGCTACCTGTAGTCCTGATATCATTTTCTTTGCTTCTTCCATTTCTTTTTCTAAATATTCTTGTTGTTCCAACAGCTGTTCTTCCCATGAGGTCTCCAGATAGGTTCCAGGGCTCCCCGGCCGCCAGTCTCGAGATAATGGAGACTCTGTCTCCTCTACAAAATGAAAAGAGGGAGAACAGTTCATGTTGAAGAAAACTGATTTCCGGCAGAAAGCGTTCACAGGGTAGCGTTCACAGGTTCAGGTCACCTGCGTTCTGAACCTGTTCTCACAGCACAGACTGGACTCTCCACCAGGTGGGGTTGTGAGGCATAAAGAACTGGCTGTGAGCTCAGGCCTCAGGCTCACTTGGTGCTAGAACAATCTATCCTCTTTTAAAACACTTAGGAAGTAGAAGATTTCCTCCATGGGAGCCTTGGTATGCGCCACACAGACTTTACCCTTGATTCTTAGAACTGGCATTCCAAGAGCCTGATTTTTGCCAGGTACAAAGAGAGAAGCTGTCAGATGCAATGAAAACAAAATCTTACTGGTTACTCTGAAGGTTTAGTGGGGAGACCTCAATTCAATATTCCTTTGACCACTCGGTCATAACTGGACCACTTTCATACAGAATACTGTGTGAGTCACACAGCAAACAAACCAATAAAAACAAACTGCACAAACTGTTTAGCATCACGTTTATTTTCCTAGCTTTAAGGTCTCTTTGCTCTGGTTTCCTTGTCTATTTTATATGATCTAATTGTATGTACAGCCATTTAAAATGCATATTCTAGAATTCAGAAAGGCATAAACTCTTTCAGTGAGTTTCTTCATTCATGAGACGAGTATAATAACCCCTCTGGGTTGCCATGAAGATTAAATGAGGTAACTCATGTGCAGAGCCGGCTGGTGCCTGGCCGAGAGGAGCACTCAATAAATGCTCTCCCTCTCTCTCTAAGGCCTCAGGAGTTTTGACTCAGTAACATGACTGACTCTTTGGTACTAATGCCAGGGTTAGACGGGGAGCAGAATACAGAATAATTCAATTACAGTTTTTCTTCTGAGGGCCTCTGTTTCATTACAACTCTTGTGAGTAAATAAAATTCTAAGTCTTGCACTTTGCTTCTTACAGTTTCTCTCTCTATGCAAGAAAAAAAAGAGCAACTGAGACAGAGTATGTAAGTCTAAACAAAGGGAACTGTTTGTGGTCCTTTCTGTAGCTTCATACCAAGCCTGATACAGACCTGCTCTCTACTCTCTGTGTCCTCACAGACACCTCAGCTCATACAATATACTTCTGGTCCCAATTTAAGTTCCTGCAATTATTTGTGTAAGATAGGAATAATAAAAATGTTTACTTGAGTAAGGCTTTTGACTGCCCCAAAGTCATTTCCTAATTCATAGGCAGCCAGCTGAGAAAGGGCCTGTCTATGCTGCTGCAAGATTTTCGAAAGCTAGGACACCAGAAATTACATTCTGCAAGAGGATAACCACATTAATTGACTCAAAGTCATTAGAGCCCTCTAGCGCTGACCCTGCATACACTATGGAGATGGGGAAGGCCAGGGAGCTTATTGGTGGTCAGGACCTCTAAATTCTTCAAGCTGGCTCTTCCTTGAACCAACCCAGGCAGGTGTAGAGATAGTACCTGTTCTGGTCTCTATTCCTTCAGAGGGAATAATCACAAAATCTGCCTTCTCTTCTGACTGGGTTATAATGGACTCACTCTTGGCACTGTGGATTGGACTGGGTGAAGTCAGGCTGTGATTGAAGAAAAAGGAAGAAAAATGATTATTATGAAGAGTTGTTCAGAAAGCAGCTTTCATAATTTATTCCTGAGAACAGGGACATGTTCTTATTCATCTTACTCCTCCATGGCTAACACAGTACTTGGCCCACAGAAAATAAAATATTGAATGATTAACCTTTTGAATGAATGAAATTAATATTGAATAAAGGAATGACCCAGTCCTATAAAGTCTTTACCACAACAAGGATGCCTTTAAGCCTAATTCATTGAGAAGAGATTTACCAAAATGATGGGTAATCTAGCATTCAACTTTTGTTTTACCTCCCACCACCTCTGCCATCACCATCCCTGGGCCCACGTTCAAAGACTGATGCCAGTCTGTGTCTAGTAGCTTTTGGAGCTAGAAGGAAATTTTATTTCCAATACACTGATCTCTCACAGATACAGGCACTACCAGCCAAGTTATCATGGCAGATCAGCTCTGAGCTGATTACAAAGGAGAGTACAGGGTGGGGGTGGTTCAAGGGGAAAAGTTGCTGGAGAGCGTACATTGCCAGGCTGGGCAGAGGAGCAGTTATATATCAATAACTGAGCTAGAGCATGACAGGGGGAAGATAATATGTCAAAAGGGGAAATACCTGCTAGGGATAGTGGAGTAAGGGTTTACTTGATTTATTCCTATCAAAGAGTTATTTATATTTCTGACACAACACTTTCAAATTGTTCTCAGAATCTTCTCAACAATTCTTTTTTTTTTTTTTTTCTTTTTTTTTTTTTGAGACGGAGTCTCGCTCTGTCGCCCAGGCTGGAGTGCAGTGGCCGGATCTCAGCTCACTGCAAGCTCCGCCTCCCGGGTTCACCCCATTCTCCTGCCTCAGCCTCCCAAGTAGCTGGGACTACAGGCACCTGCCACCTCGCCCGGCTAATTTTTTGTATTTTTTTTTAGTAGAGATGGGGTTTCACCGTGTTAGCCAGGATGGTCTCGATCTCCTGACCTCGTGATCCGCCAGTCTCGGCCTCCCAAAGTGCTGGGATTACAGGCTTGAGCCACCGCGCCCGGCCCCTTCTCAACAATTCTTAAGGTTTTGTTTTGTTTTATTTTTTTCAGACACGGTCTCACTCTGTTGCCCAAGTTGGAGTGCAGTGGCTCCATCATAACTCATGGCAGCCTCAAGCTCCTGGGCTTGAGCAAATCTGTCTCAGCCTCCCGAGCAACTAGGACTATAGGTGCACATGATGCCCAGCTAATTTTCAAATTATTTTGTAGAGACAAGGTCTCCCCATGTTACCCAGGCTGGTTTCGAACTCCTGGGCTCAAGTGATCCTCTCTCCTCAGTCTCTGTACTGGGATTACAGGCATGGGCCACCATACCTGGCCCTTAAGTTCTGATATAACTACTAGCCTTGGAAGGAACTATGCAGATTTTCAGGGAAGTGGAATTGTAAATCTCAAAAAAAACAGCAAATCTACAAGACAAGATGGGACTGTGAGGCTGGTGCTTCCATGTGACAGGGAAAACGAGTCTCGAGCCATTTCTCTTTGCACTGCACCTTGAGAACATCAGCAATGAAACAATCTCAGGGGCTGCGGGGTCTCCTGGCCCAGCCCCCTCTCAGGAATTCTTTCCAAATCTATCACCCAGACAACAGTGAAAGTGGCTAGGATTCACTGACCCACTTAATGTGCCCCTGAAGTCTCCCAGGCAAATCCTCACAACCACCATCAGGAGTTAACATTTTGTCTTCCTAGAATCCAGTAAAAACAAGAGCCAGGCACGGTGGAGGTAGCCAGGCACTTCAAAAGCGGTGAGGCAGCCTGAGGACTAGTGTCTCATCCTCCTCATTGCCCATATTTTAAGGGCTTTGGTGGGAATGACCTCAACTAGAAATACATTCTCTTCCTTCTTAGAACTACAGAAAACATTTTAAAGCTTTTAAATTGAAATGCCAAATTAAAGAAAGTTGCTTAACCATCATCTACAGATCTATAACTCAAACAGGCAGAAGGGGTAGGGAGTGGCAAGAAGTGATATTCCAAAATAGCAACTGCTTTCTAGAACTTTCTTATTCATCTTTCACCGCTTAGGCAATCTTGACTTCCAGGCCAACATGAATTCGCTGCTTGAAAAGCTCTCATCCAAGGGTACTATGTCATTCACAAGGAGAATAGATTTGTGCCTGCTCAGGCCTCAGCATTTACCTTCTTAGAGAAATGGGGATCCAAGCATAGAAAGCGGCCTGCAAGAGCTGCTCATCTTTGAGAAACAAGAAAGCAACACTTTCTCATCTGACAAGGTGCTATGGATGGCATGTTCCACCCTCCGCCTTTGCTGGACCACAGCACGTGTGAGACAAAGTCGAGGAGGAGGGTGCAGTGTGAACCCAGGATGCTAGAAAACTGCTTTCCTAAAAGCACAGACGCATGCTCAGCTCCTTCTCCCTCCTAAGAGAGTTATCTCCCATATAAGGGCAGAAGGAGGCGGATGTCTGGATATCCAACCCCGCTGGGGGAGTGGCAGAGCAGCCAAAGGAAAACAACATTTCTCTTTCTTGAATTGAGGCTGCCAATGTGAGGCCACCGAGAGGTGAGACCATGAAACTCGATGGCCAAGTGGAGAGATAAAGGACCTCAGGCAGGAAACTCCCGAGGCACATGTCAGAGCAGGCACCCTGCTGCCTCCCTAAGAAGTACCTCATGGACAAGGAATATGCATTGAATCCTCTGCCTCAGGTCAGAGAAAATATTTTAATGCTAATTAATTATGTATATGACAGGCTCCTCCCTGATTAGCTTAAAAGTTCTATTTTATAAACAAATAATCCCCTATTTAGCATCATAATCCTCTCTGAGGTCAGAGAATGACTGATAGGTCTGGGCTGATACGTTTCTTAATTCCCACAGGTCTAATAGCTCTTCTATCTTAATTTACCAGGCAAGCAATCCTGCAGCAAAGATACTTCCAAATCCTACTCAAATTAATTTTTTTAAACGGATAATAGGCAATAAGGAAGAGTCCTATATCCTCATGAAGTACCCTCCCCCACCAAAGCCCCTGGCAGGGGCTAGGGCTACTCCTCCTGCCCCCATGCTGGCTCCACTTCCTAAGCCCACCCACCGTATTTTATAGTGATAACCCCTGGTCAGCAGTCGATCCTCCCAACATAGTGCTCCCACCACCCCGCCTGTCTCTGGCCAACAGCATCCTCCAGCCCTGCCCCTGCTCCCACCCTGGCCACCCACTTCCAAAGCCAGAGTGGCTTCAGCTCACCATTTGACTTGCGTCCCTCCCATGGTCCCCCTCCTGCCTCGGGCTTCAGCAAGCCTGCGTCCCCAGGTGAAGTGGGAGGCTGAGAGTCACATCGCTCCCAAATTCAGGCATGTCTCCCCGCGCTGGGGCTGGAAAACGCCTCCACGGGAAGGCCAGCTAGCAGAGCTACTGGCCCGGCTCGCGGGAGAAAGTGGGAACGGTGGCGGCGGCGTCTCGGCCCCAGCGACGGGGATGCTCCAGGCTCTGAAGCGCGCTGTCCCGGCCGCTCAGACTGTGCCGCAGCCGGGCCCCGGCGGAAGCTGCCTCCACTCGCAGGCTGCCGGCCCCTGGCCGCTGCATCTTGGCCTCCGCGGACGCTCGGCACCGGGCATCCCCCCTGGTGGGGGCATCTCAACCCATCTCCCACTGGGAGGGAGGCTCCCGGCAGCGCAGGCTGCGCCTCGAGTCCCCAGCAGCGATCCCGCTCCGCGCCACCTTCCGGATCCCTTCCTGCCCCTCCCTCTGCTCCCTCCCCGGGCTGTCACAAGCGGCGAGGCAGCCGGGCTCCGACCCAAGCCAGCTCCACTGGCCAACCGACCGACCGCTCTGGACGGAGGTTGAGGGTGCGGGCCAGGGGCGGGGCTGGGCGGGGTTGGGGTGGGGGTGGGGGTGGGGGCGTCGACGAGGGATTGGGGGATGCAAGGAGGGGAGACTGGGAGGCTCAGGATAGGCAGGGTAAGAGCCGCGTATAGGCAGAATCAAGAGGAGGGCTCTGGTGGTCTGCCCCGCACCGAAAACCTTGCTTTCTCCACTCTGAGTCCTCCCTTCGTGGACCAGGGGTCGCTCGGACAGGTCAGGCCCGCGTGGGGCTCTGGCCGCTCCTCGGGGTGGAGACTCCGACACTCCCCAGGAAAATTCGCTGAGCACCCATCCCCTCCCACCTTCCCCTCTGGCGTTTGGTGTGTTCTTTTTAACCAAGTAAGGATCATTTTGCTTGGCTACAGTGAGAGGCTGGTATGCGGTTTTCGGTTTTCGGAGCAACAGGCTGGCAGGGCTTCCCCAGGGCGTCTCCGGAGGAGCAGTGGCCGGGGATGAGACACCCAGGGGCTATCCTTCCTTCTGAGCCACTCCCGTCCTGAGCAAGCCACATCTGGGGGCTCCTGAGCTCTTCATGGGTCACAGAGCCACTAAGTGGGCTCCCTGGGAGGCGAGGGCTCAGAATGTGCAGGAACCTGCTGGGTCCCAGATAGCCACAAGAAGCCCTCTCCTTCCCTGGGGACTCACTGAGGAAAAGGCAGCTACTAACCCAGCATGCCAAAGAGCTGGATGAGGGGTCAGCATTAGAAGAAAATGTCAAAATCGAATAGTGAAAAACAGGGTAAAGCAAACAATTCTCCTCTGGCCCCTCTCCTAGAAAATTGTCACCATTAGCTCACTGCAGCCTGATAGCCAGTGGGCCACTCATTCACACAGTCTCACAGTCTCACAGCCTCCCCTCAGTCCTCCTGCCTTGGAGGAGAAAGCAGGTGCTCTCAGGAAGAAATCCACTCTTCCTCCTATCCCCCAACTCTAGCAGGCACTATCAGGCTTAGAAGAGTGAAAGGCCTGCTGACGTGCAGGAAGCAATAGATCTCATCATACAACAAAAACATCCTGTAATTCTGCTCCAGGTGATAACCTAAGCAGCAAGCAAGGAAGAAATGATTTAGAGTCTCATTAAAAGCACACCTGCTGCTTAATGGGCACGGGGCTTCCTTTTGGGGTGATGAAGATGTCTTCTGAGTGGACAGAGGTGATAGTCGCACCACATTATGAAGATACTAAGTGCCACTGAATTGTACACTTTATAATGTTTAATGGTTAATTTTATGTTAGGTGAATTTTATAAATAAAAAAGAGCCCACTTATTAAATGTAAAAGGCAAAAAGTTAGCAGTGTATTAAAATACTAAAAAGAGTTCCATATGACCTCAATAAATTAGGAAATGGTGTATCAAAATAGGATGGAATTTTATGAGAAAAAAAGAGAAGGAAGAAAACAAAGACACATAACATACATACAAGACAAAGAACAATTAGCCCTAAATAAAGCAGATGACACAGGGTCGGGATAGGAAAGAAAAGGTCATTAGAGCATAAATTATGATTCAGCAACAAAATGAAGTTAGTTAAAATATGATCTGGGGAGTGTTTATAGGAGCATGATTTACATAAGTCAGGAAAGTAATCTTTTTCTGCCACTGATAAGGTTCTTATTAGGGCACTGTATCCTGTTTTGGTCTCTGTACTTGGCTCTAAGGAATACAGACAACTTTTAGCTAGAGTCGCAAACATCATTAGCTTGCTCAAATGCATACTAATCAGCCACAGTTCCTGTAGAGGAAAGCTGGAAACATTCTAATGCTCTCAGACAACTCTGCTCAATTTCTATGAGCTTTACACAGACTTTTCAGGCCATACCCTAAGAGTTACACTTAGCGCAATGGAACTAGCTATCATAAACACTGGCACCTGATACGCAAATGTCAGAACCTGGACTGGGCCCTGACAGGTTCCAGCCATGCCCCCACGTGGTCACAGTTAAGCACTGGCACTGGGACTGCACAGATTCCATTTGTGGGAAATAAAGCAGAACCCGACCCTACCTTCCTACCCTCCTACCAGCAGAAACCCACAAAGCACTGCTAAGGGGTATGCCTTTAAAGCCAAACATAAACTGAGGAGAGAAAAAGGGCTTAGATGCCTTTTTGCTTGTTGTGTTGTTACTTGAAGCTGAGAACTCCGAGAATCCCCCAGAATTCAGGTTTCAGAGGCCACAGTTACCTGGAGCAGCTGGATTCAGACGGGGACCTTTGTTGCCCTTCATACTGCTGCACTAGGGCCCGCACGCTCCAGTACGGATTCTCAATTTCCTCATCCATGCTGCTGTTCCTAAAGTCAAAGGACACCAGCAAAGGGAGGGTGTCAGTCCTTCAGATCAGATCAACTCAACGAGTACAGATAGACTGCCACTCTGTGAGCAGTATAATAGATAAGTAAGACAAATCCCCTGCCTCAAAGACACTTGGTACCTAGCAGGGAAGGCAGACACAAAAACAAGTAATTCACCAATCTCTGCAACACCTCAGGGTCCTGCTCTCTCTTAGCAGATACACAACCCGCAAAGCATTTCCTGCCATGACTCCCCAGGACAACCTGACCTTTGGGTACATTCCAGGGTAGAGCTTCCCCTAGATGAACTGGAACACTGCTCCCACAGACCTCCCAGTGAAGAAAACACACTTGCCAAAGGTGTATATTTAAATTTTGGGCACCAGAGCAAAAACTTACATATAAGATTCCTTAACTTTCTGTTAAATGCAAAATAAAAATAAACATCTCAGAAGAAAAGGCTTTTTTCTTTTGAGAGTGCCCTCCCCTACCTCCCCACTCCATGTTCTTTTCTGCAATCTGGGGCTGTTTGGGTGACATTTCTATCTACTGTACTGTATCATCTAACAGAAGAAATATCAGAGAGAGGGATCAGTTCCCATCCCCAGATTTCTACCGTTACCTCTGTCTGTATCGAAAGATATCCCGTCCTGATCGGGACATGTCATGACACACATCGGCCAGAGCAGCAGCTGCTCCCTGGGCCACAGCAGTGGCACAATGTGGTCGGTGACTTTGTAAAGGGGCTCTGGAGTCCCGTCCTTGGTTCACCGTCCTGCTAGAGCCAGGTTTGAAATGAGCTGCCAAGGCAAGGACCAGCCTCATGATAGACTTCAGGTTTCCGTCCACAATATCTGAAGGACAAAACAGACCAAGAGGTCCTAAGAGGGAGGCAAAAGCTGAGGACTTAGGCATTTAATATGTATTGCTAGTGATACAGGTAAGCAAGGCAGTCAGAGTCTCAGTCCTAACAAAGCTCTGGGCAACAAGGGACACAGAATATATAACAGCAATGACAATAAAGTAAGGTCACGTGTTTTGATAAGAGAAGTACAGGAATCTTTGGGAGGTCAGAGTAGAGACATCTTATCTAGACGACTCAGAGAAGGATTCCTAGAGGAAGTGGGTTCTAAACTGAGACTTGATTGATGAAGAGTAGCACTTTAGTTAGATAAGAGAAAGACAAGAGTATTCCAGGAATAGGGAACAGCAGGTGTGGAGGTCTTGAAGTGGGAGACAGCATGATATGTTAGAGCTACGCCATCCAGTATGGGAACCATTAGCCACCTGTAGCTATCTCGGCTCACTGCAACCTCCGCCTCCCAGGTTCAAGCGATTCTCCTGCCTCAGCCTCCTGAGTAGCTGGCACTACAGGCACCTGCCACCACGCCCAGCTAATTTGTTATATTTTTAGTAGAGACAGGGTTTCACCATGTTGGCCAGGCTGGTCTTGAACTCCTGACCTCAGGTGATCCGCCTGCCTCAGTCCCCCAAAGTGCTGGGATTACAGGCGTGAGCCACTGCGCCTGGCCCACCTGTTTCCTTTTTTATAATGTGGCTACTAGAAACTTTTTTTTTTTTTTTTTTTGAGACAAAGTCTCACTCTATCACCCAGGCGGGAATGCAATGGCACTATCTTGGCTCACTGCAACCTCTGCCTCCTGGGTTCAAGTGATTCTCCTGCCTCAGCCTCCCAAGTAGCTGGGATTACAGGAGCCCACCACCACGCCCAGCTAATGTTTGTATTTTTAGTAGAGATGGGAGTTTCACCATGTTGGCCACGCTGGTCTCGAACTCTTGACCTCAAGTGATCAGGAGTGTGATCAGGGACGGGGAGGCCTAGCCTCCCAAAGTGCTGGGATAATAGGTGTGAGCCACTGCGCCCAGCCTGCTATCAGAAACTCTTAAGTTACCTATGTGACTTGCATTCTATTTCTGTGACACAGCACTGTGGTGGAGGAAGTGAAAGAAGTTCAGCATAGCCAGAGCCCAGAATGCGGGGGAAGACAGGGAAAGGTGAGGCAGCAGGGGGGTGAATTGGGGGGTGAATCAGAAGGGGGATCACAGAGGGCATGGGCATGGGAGGCCACAGGAAGGACTCTGGATTTTATCCTAATGGTCCTCAGATACAGAGGAGTGGCATGAGTATATGTACTCTTGGAAAGATCATTCTGACTGCAGTGTGGAGAGCAGATGAGAAGGGGACAAAAATCAATGCCGCGAGACTAACTCAGACTGTTACACTTCTCCAGGTAAATGACAATGATGTCCTAAATGGCAGTGTTCCCTCAAAATAGCTGACTTTAATGGGCCAGATCCCCAAGCCCACTCCACATGGGAACCAGATCAGAGGTATCATGAACTCTAAATTTTGCCCTAGAAATAAAAGAGGAATGTAGGCAGAAAACAGTGTGGTAAGTCTGGTGAAAGTCAATGTAAGGAAATGGGTAAAATTTTATTTTATTTTTAGCTTTGTATCCTTTAAATATACAAGTCTTGGAAAAGGATTATTTGTGTTTGTTTTTTTCTTTTTCACCTTTTGTTTTAGAAGCAGGTGGTACACATGCAGCTTTGTTACAAAGGTATGTTGTGTGATGCTGAGGTCTACGGTATGGCTGAACTCATCATCCAGATAGTGAGCACAGTACCCAACAGGTAGTTTGCAGCCCTTCCCCCCCTCCCTCTCTCCCTCCTCTAGTAGTCCCCAGTTTCTACTGTTCCCATCTCTTGTCCCAATGTGCACCCAATGTTTAGTTCCCAATTATAAGTAAGAACATATGGTGTTTGGTTTGCTGGTTCTGCATTACTTTGCTTAGGATAATGGCCTCCAGCTGCATCCATGTTGCAGCAAAGGACATGATTTTATTTTTTTATGGCTGCCTAGTATCCTATGGTATATATATACCACATTTTCTTTATCCACTTAACTGCTGATGGGCACCTGAATTGATTCCATGTTTTTGCTATTGTGAATGGTGCTGCAATGAACCTACAGGTGCATGTGTCCTTTTGGTAGAGTGATTTATTTTCCTTTGTGGATATACCCAGTAATGGGATTGCTGTAGTTCTTGGAGAAATCTCCAAACTATTTTCCACAGTGGCTGGACAAAGTTACATTCCCACCAACAATATATGTGCCCCTTTTCTCCATAGCCTCACCAACATCTGTCATTTTTTGACTTTTTAACAAAAGCCATCCTGACTGGTGTGAGATAGTATCTCATTGTGGTTTTGATTTGCATTTATCTGATTAGTGCTGATGAGCTTTTCTTCATGTTTGTTGGCCACTTGTACATCTTCTTTTGCGAATTATCTGTATATGCCCTTTGCCTACTTTTTAATAGGGTTATTTGTTTTTGTTTATTGATTTAAGTTCCCTATAGATTCTAGATGTTAGACCTTTGTCAGATTCATAGTTTGTGAATATTTCCTCCCATTCTATAGGCTAACTGCTTACTCCCTTGATAGTTTATCTTGCTATGTAGAGGCTCTTTAGTTTAATTAGATCCCAATTGTCAATGTTTATGTTGCAATTGCTTTGAGGACTTAGTCATAAATTCTTTGCCAATGCCAATATCAAGAAGGGTTATTTCCTAGGTTTTCTTCTAGGATTTTTACAGTTCAACGTCTTCCATTTAAGTATTTATTCCATCTTGAGTTAATTTTTGTACATGGTGATAGACAGGGATCTAGTTTCATTCTTCTGCATATGGCTAGCCAATTATCCCAGCACCATTTATTGAATAGGGATTCTTTTCCTCATTGCTTATTTTTGTTGAGTTTGTCAAAGATCACATGGTTGTAGGTGTGGAACTTTATTTCTGGGTTCTCTAGTCTGTTCCATTGGTCTACGTGTCTGTTTTTATACCAGTACCATATTGTTTTGGTTACCATAGTCTTGTAGTACAGTTTGAAGTCAGGTAATGTGACACCCTAGCTTTGTAGCTTTGTTCTTTTTTTTTTTTTTTTTTTTTTGAGATAGAATTTCCCTCTGTGTCGCCCAAGCTGGAGTGCAGTGGCGCGATCTCAGCTCACTGGAACCTCGGCCTCCCCAGTTCAAGATATTCTGCTGTCTCAGCGTCCTGAGTAGCTGGGATTACAGGCACATACCACCACGCCCAGCTAATTTTTGTATTTTGAATTTCTTTCACCTCTTTGGTTAGATGTAGTCCTAGATATTTCTTTTTTGTGTGTAGTCATTGTAAGTGGGATTGTGTTCATAATTTGTCTCTCAGCTAGAATGTTATTGGTGTATAGAAATGCTACTGATTTGGCCAGGCACGGTGGCTCATGCTTATAATCCCAGCACTTTGGGAGGCTGAGGCAGGTGGAGATCTGGAATTTGAGACCACATTGGCCAACATGATGAAACCCTGTCTCTATAAAAATACAAAAATAAGCCAGGCATGGTGGTGCATGCCTGTAGTCCCAGCTACTTGGGAGGCTGAGGCAGGAGAATCACCTGAACCCAGGAGGCGGAGGCTGCAGTGAGGTGAGATCACGACACTGAACTCCAGTCTGGGCAACAAAGCAAAACTCCATCTCAAAAAAAATAAAATAAATGCTACTGATTTTGCACACTGATTTTATATCCTGAAACTTTACTTAAGTCGTTTATCAGTTCTAAGAGCCTTTTGGGTTTTCTAGGTATAGAATCATATCATCAGTGAAGAGAGATAGTTTGACTTTTTCTTCTCCTATTTGGATGCCTTTTATTTCTTTCTCTTGCCTGATTGCTCTGGCTAGGACTGCCAGTACTATGTTGAGAAGGAGTGGTAAAGGACTCTTTGATACCTCCTACAAGGTGCTCTCACTGATCAGTATTGGCCTCATCTAAATGATCTAAACACAGAGAACACTAATAATCCAACATGAACCATTCTGCCCCAATTGTCATGAGACCCAAAGGCAATCAGACCCAGGAACTGACACTGAAACAAAACCAGACCTACAGTCAGTTCTCGAGAAACAGCAAGAGAACTAGGGAGCCTATGCTCTCTAAGAACACCTACGTTGTTCCTTCCTTGAAGCCTGGGCTCAAAATAGCCCGGCAAACCCATCTGGGCCAAGCCACTATAGAAGAGGGCAGATGCAGAGGTCACAGAGCTGCTTTCATCCTGCCTAGAATGTTCCATGGTATCAAAAAAGGGCTATAAAATGTTTCCCTTCTAAAAAACTAGACGGAAAAAAATGTAGGTTATGAGTATCTTAAATAATATTTTGTCATGAAACCCAAGGAACTTAAAAAAGTAATCTCTTCATTTTTGATAACTTAAATGAGAAATCCTAAAGTTAATATCCCAATATTGTAATTTCTTCTCTCTTTTTTAAAAAATAGAGACAGAGCCTCACCATGTTGCCCAGTATGGTCTCAAACTCCTGGGCTCAAGTGATCCTCCCGCCTTGGCCTCCCAGTGCTGGGATTACAGGTATGAGCCACCATGCCCGACCATAATTTCTTCTCTAACCACTAATTTTCCTACATACACTCAAGCAAATCTGTACTAAATTAAAATGAATGCCCAGGCACAATGGCTCACGCCTATAATCCCAGCACTTTGGGAGGCCAAGGAGAGGCGGGTGGATCACCTGAGGTCAGGAGTTCGAGACCAGCTTAACCAACACGGTGAGACCCTATCTCTAATAAAAATACAAAATTAGCCAGGCATGGTGGCACATGCCTGTAATCCCAGCTACTTGGGTGTCTGAGGCAGGAGAATCACTTGAACCAGGGAGGCAGAGGTTGCAGTGAACCAAGATTGTGCCATTGCACTCTAGCCTGGGCAAGAAGACTAACTCCATCTCAAAAAATAATAATCATGAAATATAAAATAAAAATAAAATAAAATGAATGAAGACTTTCTATCTCCCCACAGGTCACAACCAAGGATTTTCCTGAGGCTAGCACTCACTGGTTAACATTGCGTATACTCATGCACCAAGGATGTGATGAGGCACTGACCTTTAGCCGAAGTCTGGTGCATACGAATCTTTTTAGAGGCCACAAACTGTAGCACTTTCTCCACATTATTCTTCATCTCCTGCTGGTTACTGGGACTCAGCTGTACCCCACTCAGCTTTTCTCCTGCTGTTAGGAGAGACAAAATATACGAAGCTATAGGGAGGAATACTATCAAAGTTTCATAGCAGCTAGATACAGAGGAAGGGAAGATCTGATGTGAACACCAACATTATACATAAATATATAAATGAGTTAAGTCCTGGTGTTTGTCATTTAGATGGGAAATAGGAAAATGAAAGCCTTTTGGAAGGCTTTCAGATTTATACTTAGGGGTCTGTGAAGTTACTGTGTGTACATTTATTCAGTCAGCAAATATTCACTGAGCATCTACTGAGTGGCAAGTACTCACTATTCTGAGCACCAGAGAAACAGGAGAGAACAAGAAGAATAAAGTCCCTCCCTTCATAGAATTTATATGTGCAGGAGTGGCTGACAACAATCAAGTTAACAAGTAAGTGTTTAATATAATTTCATAGTAGCGATAAGTGCTTGAGGAAAAATAAAGTACAATGATCATGGTCTCTCTGATCATACATTTGGCAGCAGCCTGAATAAAGTAAAGCATGTTAAGATTTGAGGAGGAAGCATTCCAGACTGAGGAACCACAGGGACAAACCCCAAGCTCCGCTTACCTGAAGAACAGCAAGAGCAGTGTGGCTGGGGGAGTGAGCAAGGAGTCAAGTCCTAGGAAAGGCTAGACAGACGAGCAAGGCTAGGGCATGCGGGGCTTTCTGTTTTTTTTTTTTTGAGACGGAGTCTTGCTCCGCCCAGGCTGGAGTGCAGTGGCGCGATCTCGGCTCACTCCAACCTCCGCCTCCCAGGTTCACCCCATTCTCCTGCCTCAGCCTCCTGAGTAGCTGGGTCTACAGGTGCCCGCTACCTTGCTCGGCTAACTTTTTGTATTTTTATTAGAGACGGGGTTTCACCGTGTTTGCCAGGATGGTCTCGATCTCCTGACCTCATAATCCGCCCACCTCGGCCTCCCAGTGCTGGGATTACAGGCGTGAGCCACCGCGCCCGGCCCATGCGGGGCTTTCTGGACCACAGCAAAGGGCCTGAATTTTATCCTAAGTGTAATGAGCAGCCAATGGAGAGTCTGAGACAAGGGAGTGACATAATCTGGTTTATGTTTTTAAAAGTTGACTGGCAGGGCGCCATGGCTTACGCCCATAATCCTAGCACTTTGGGAAGCCAAGGCAGAAGAACTGCCTGAGCCCAGGAGTTCAAGACTAGTCTGGGCAAGATGGCAAAAACCCCGTCTCTACAAAAATAATAAATAAATAAATAAATAAATAAATAAATAAATAAATAAAAAAAATGGACCCTGCGTGCAAATAGACTACGGAGAGAGGAAACAGGGAGATCAGTCAGAAGGATGATGACAATGGTCAAGGCAGGACATGAAGGTTTGGGCTAGAGTGGAAGTCTTGGCTGACTGATGAGAAGTTAGATATCAGGTATATTGTGAATACAAAGCAGACAACACATTTGAAGGATTCGATATAATATATGAGAAAAAGAACAATTAAGGACACCTAAAGTGTTCTGCTTTAACACTTAGGCAAATGATAATGTGGTGTGTTACTCAGATGAAGAAATTTGAAGAATAAAGGGATTGGTAGGGGGAAGGACATCCAAATTTCTGATTAGGACGTGTGAAATTTGAGTTGCATGTTACACATCCAAGTAGAGATATTGGATATTCATGTCTAGAACTCAAGGAAAAATTCAAGGCTAAAGATACAAATTTGGGAAGAAATCACTTAGGAGTAGAGAGTATATAAGAGGGCTGAACCTGTAGCATTCCAGCATTAGAGGTCAAGAAGGAAATGAAAAGCCAGAAAAACAAATGAAAGAAGCCCATGAGGAAGGAAGAAAACTAGAAGTTAACAGGATTCTAGAAGTCAAGTAAAGAAAGTCTTTGAAGAGAAGAGTGTTATCAACTATGTCAAGTATTGCTATGTTAAATAAAATGATGTCTGAGGCCTAGTCACTGGATTTGATAAAGTGGAGGATTGGCCACTGGATTTGATATGACCTTGAGGAAGGCGGTTTCAGTGGAATGGGATCAAAAGCCTGATAAGGACAGGTCAAAGAAAGCATAGGAAATAAGCAAGTGGATTCGGTGAGTAAAGGCAAAATCTTGTGAGGAGTTTTTCTATCTAGCAAAGTCACAGTAGAAAGTTGTGTTTAAGAACCTGGGTTTTGGCTGGGCACGGTGGCTCACGCCTGTAATCCTAGCACTGTGGGAGGCCGAGGCAGGCAGATCACAAGGTCAAGAGATCGAGACCATCCTGGCCAACATGGTGAAACCCCATCTCTACTAAAAAATACAAAAATTAGCTTGGCGTGGCGACATGTGCCTGTAGTCCCAGTTACTTGGGAGGCTGAAGCAGGAGAATTGCTTGAACCCAGGAGGTGGAGGCTTCAGTGAGTCGAGATTGCGCCACTGCACTCCAGCCTGGCGACAGAGTGAGACTCCGTCTCAAGAAAAAAAAAAAACAAACCCTGGGTTTTGCGGGGGAGGGGATGGGGAAAAAGGAACCTAGGTTTTGGAAAAAGAAGAATACATATTCATATTACTTGTATAGACATAGAATGGGAAGTTTCTCTGGGAAGAAATGCAAGAAACTACTAACACTAGTTGCCTCTAGAAGGAAAAATGGGTAGCTGGTGAGGGGATATAAGTGGAAAAAGGAGGTTTGATCTTACATCCTTTCGTACATCTGGATTTCCTACTAGTCCATATATAACCTATTCAAATAAATGGAACATTAAATGTTTAAAACAGGCTTTGGAATTAAAGTAGATGTAGGTTTGCACCTCTACTTTGGCACTTATAGTTATGTGGCTTTGTAAAGTTGCTTAGCCTCTCTAAGCCTCATAAAATGAATAAAATAGTAGTAGTCATATTATACACCTATCATAAATCAAAATAGCATGCTTAGCTATTTTGTTTGACTCATACTAAGTACTATTTATTTTTATAAAACTTCTCTTTTAAGCTTGTTTCCTGAAAATGGGGATAACATTATGTTTCCCAAAGATGTGATGATTAAATGAAATTAAACAAGATAGAAAGTGTTCAATCCTAGCATTTGCTATTACCGTTGCCATTATTATCGTCATTACATATGAATACTCTGATGAATTCATAAACTGTCCCAATGAGGTATTCATGGATGGGCTGCTTGTTGCAAACCTGGCTTCTTCCGTACCACTTGCAGGTCCTATATGCCTCAATAACTCAAAGCAAAGTCAGCTAACTAATGTAACAATAAATGGTTGAGAACCTATTATGTGCATTTGGCTAGAGCTTGTATAAATAGAAAAATATTATACTACGCCTGCTCTTAAAGCGCTCAGATCATGTAGGATAGCTAATCAAATGATTACCACATAATTACTATTCAATGAGAGAAATAATAATAGAAATATGGAAAAATGCTATGGAAGTAAGGTTATGGTACCATCTAGTAAGAATGATGGCAACAACCCCAGGGTTCAAGATGAAAAAAACCTTTTATGAAGCATTATGGTAAAAGGGTCCTTTTGCCAGTAACATCCCTCCTTTTGTCTGGCTACTACTTCCTTCTCTGGCCTTGGTTTAGATACTGATTCTTCTGGTAGGCCTCAGTTGAGACATCAATTCTGGCAAGCCAATCCCTGAACCCCTAAGACTGGGTGTCCCTCCTATGTGCTCCCATCTGTGCTTGCCCCACTCTGGAGTACTAAGTACATTAATGGAATTGACTTCACTTTCCAGCCTTTCCAACTAGTTTGGTAGACTCTTGAGAGCATAGACTATTCTCATCCTCATATTCCCAAAACATAATTCAGTGCCTGGGACACAATGTTTATTGACTAATCAATAAATGAATTAACCTTGGGCAAGTATTTTAAGTCTTCTCTACCTTCACTGACATATATTCTAAAGAAAAAACAACCTGTTCTAAAGGGCATACGGAGGATAAAGAAGGCCAGGTTCTGGTCTATGTATTCTAGTATCAGAGTCCAGGGCCAACTGACCAACAATCTCGATGAGATATGCCAGGATCACCCCATCCCGGAGATCCTGTCGCAGGTCCTGCACAGGCTTCACTGCTGGCCTCTTCTTCAGTTGTGAATTCACCCAGGCCACATAGGCCTGCAGCTGTTGCTGGAAAATAAAAGACAGAAGTAAGGGAAAGGTGGCATATTAATCTCAGCCCTTACCTCTTACCCTCTGAGGAAGCATTTGTGACGGGGGTATGATAAACAACCTACATCCAGAAGCAGGATAAATTTTTGAGGAAAGAAAGAAGAAAGATTATATCATGGTCAGACACAGAGCATGTTCACAAATTCTCTAGTTTTATACTAATCTCCAGGGATAAGCTAACCTCAGACTTGGGTGGCACTGTAGACACACATAAGCAAATGAGTCTTTCAATGACTATGACTCTTGCTTTCCTCAAGTTTTGCTCTGTTGACCAGGGATGAGGGCTTGGCCCAGAACCACAGCCAGTTTTCAGGTATATTCACGACTGTCAACAACCCACCACACTTTTCAGAAACAATCACTCATGCCATATGCATAACGGACTGTGATACTCATATGAATTGCTCTTGGGCAACCAGGAATAAACAATAAACCATGCTCAGAACTGCCTCTCCCATAGCTGCTTTCTTCAAAATGAGACTTAAGTGAAATCATCTCATAGTCAACCCAAGATTTATTCTCCTGAGCCAATAATCCTAGGATTGCTACAGAGTTAGTTTTAATCCATGCTTTATATTGTCAAAGAGGATCTGGTTACCGAAAACATACACAAAGAAGGAAAAAGAAAGGCTATAGTGAGCAATGTTCCTGAAGACTAAGAGGTATTTTCATTTACTTTTAGACAAAGCTAGGGCCCAGTATTATCAGAAACTGGTCAGGCATCTAGGTAGGGACATACAACTAATTCCAACCCTTGGACAACCTTACATATTACATTTTGTCCATGAAACAGAACTTGTATTCAGATGTTTATGCTGATTATTTGGTCAAAAGATGGGCACTAATATCAAAATATCACACAAACAATGTCACAGTCCAAGTAGCAGTTCTGACTGGTTTCTTTGCAGCCCAGGACCCTGAGCCTAAAATTTAAGTTCAAGGGCTAATTATATCAAATTATAATTTGGTTAAAATACAGTTGATTCCTAAGCCCCAAGTACTTCCTTAATGAAATAATGTTGGAAATTACTCACTGGCTGCTTCCTGAACATAAATTAAATCTTCATTATTTTCTCTCTGTGTCAATTTGTGAGAATAAATAACATCCTTTGGAAGACAGTACTAAGACAACAATCTATCAGCCACTGACAAACTGTAGGAAGTGCAATGATCAGGAGGAGGTGGGAGGAGGAATCTAATATTTACTGAGTACCTATCATGAACTAAACACAATTTTTGGTGTTTGACTCATGTTTTAATTAGCGAATGTACATGGGCCAGGGCCTGACATAAAACTGACGCTTACTAAATGGTCATTATTTTTGTCATCGTCATCTAATTCAATTCTCAGAAAAACAACTACACTAGAGTTAGCATTATCTCCATTTTATGGATGAGGTTCAGAGAGCTTATGTAACTTCTCTAATGTCCCCATGGCTAGGACATAGCAGACATGGTATTAAAACCCATTAATGTTGTCCCTGCATTTACCAAGGGCCTCTTGCTACCCAACTTACTCCACAGAACAGAAATGGCTTCACCTTCTGCTTCACATGGGCCAGACACCCATCACCAGGGACCACATGAGATCTGTGATGCTCCAAGGTCTGCTCCCATTGTGCAGTCAGAGCACTGCCTGAAGCAGACCAGGCAAAGGGCACCTCAGAGTGAACCACTCTGGTCTGAGGGAAAGCAGTTAAGTCCAGAAAAGACACTAAGGTGACAGGTGGGATTTGATTACCTGGCTTTTATATAAAACTCCTAACCGATTTCCCTGTATCTATTATCATTCTCAACCCACCCTCCACACATTCTTGCTTAAAATCTGTTACTGGTCTCCAGTTATCCTCAAAGATAAAATCCAATTGCCATTCAAGCTCGTCACGTGCTAGCCTTCACCTGTTCTCCAGCTTCACGCCAATTCCCCAAATACCCACCAAGCTTCAGCTCATCTGAATTATGTACGGTTCCCCAAATGCACCATGCTTTTCAGCTGCTCCACCTCCTTCGAACTCCTGCCTCCTTTTTTTTTTTTTTTTTTTTTTTTGAGACGGAGTCTTGCTCTGTCGCTCAGGCTGGAGTGCAGTGGCGTGATCTCGGCTCACTGCAACCTCTGCCCTCCAGGTTCAAGCAATTCTCTTGTCTCAGCCTCCCGAGTAGCTGGGACTATAGGCACCTGCCACCACGCCCAGCTAATTTTTGTATTTTTAATAGAGATAGGGTTTCACCATATTGGTCAAGCTGGTCTTGAACTCCTGACCTCAGATGATCCACCCACCTCGGCCTCCCAAAGTGCTGGGATTACAGATGTGAGCCACCTCACCCGGCCAATCTGCCTCTTCTTAAGTCTCAGCTCAAGCATCACTTTTTTCAGAAAGCCTCCCCTGACTTCTCAGATACCTCAGACTCCAATCTCCTTGAAGGCATCCTGTGTCACACAATCGGTTCAATAACAATTTCAGGCACTGTACCCAGTTATGAGGTGATAGCAAGCCCCAGCTTGCAGGTTGGTAGAAACAAAGCTATGACAGGGTACATAGGGTGCTAATAAAGTATCAGCCCAACCTGAACCCCAAGCTTCAGAGGGTCTCCTGAAGGAGGAAAAGAAGCAAAGAGGACAGTGAACTCAAAGGAGCTGAGGTCTGAAATATGCTTTATGTGGAGAGTCACAATAGTTCAGAATTATTTGACTCAGAGTAGCAGGTGCTCCACAAATATTTGTCTGGCTCAGTTAATCATTTGTCACATTTTATCAGGCCAGTAACTAAGATGACTGCAAAAGTTAATTGCGTGGGGGACAAACAAGAACAAGTATTTTTCTTGAGGTCAAGATAATTTCTTCTTAAGTAACCTTAGCTTTTTCTTGGCCGTAGCAGTCGTCTCTGATGCAAAACTGATTAGTACTGTTAAGTACTTTTCATGCACATTACTCACAGTCTGGTCTTCCAACAAAAGAGGATTCCACAGCATAAACAATAATAGTCACCACTTTTCTGAACACCTACTTTGTATCAAGAGCTATGCTGGGTTCTTTAAACACGTTTTCTCTAATGCTAATCTGGCAGGGAGATGTTTTTGTATTTATTTTCCTCATTGAAAACAGAGACACAAAATGGTGAAATAACTTGTTCATGGTTACTCAAACAGTAAATCATGAATATGGGATCCAGATATGACTCCCAAGCCCACGCTCTTTCCACTCTACCACACTGCTGCCTAAACAAATGCACCGCTGAGGCTTAAATGACTTCCCTAGAACTCTCAGGCTGTACCTGAGTCTAAACCACTCCCTCCACCACATCCAATGTTCGAATCCCTTGTGTAATAAACTACACTAAGGGACTGTCTACTAAAGTGTGCTTCCCAGATCAGTAGCATCGGCAACACCTGGGAGCCTGTTAGAAATGCAGACTCCTGGGCTCCTCCCCAGCCTACTGAATCAGAGCCTATTATCTCAACAAGCTTTCCTGGTGATTCATATGCACATGAAAATATGAGAAGCACTGACCCAGCCCGCTGTTGCCATACCTGGCTGCACATCGAGGTCACAAGGGAAGTTTTTCATAAGCAGACGTCATCCTAAATCTACCGGTTGTCTCCAGAAGGTAGGAATTCAGAAAGCTTCATCTTCCCAAGCTTTCCCATATGATTTGTGTAAAGCTGACTTGAGTCTTTTCCCAGCTAAACATTCCAGTTCCCTTAACCAAGGGGTTCCCAGCCCCCTTGATTAACAATCAGAATCACCTGGAAAGTTTTTTAAAAAAATACTAACATCTAGGCCCACCATAGACCAGTCAGAATTCCTGAGAGTGGGACCAAGGTATATCAGTATTTCTCAAGTGCTCCTAGTAACATGCAGAGATGTGAGCTAAGGTTAACTATTCCTTACATAAAATAAAGTATTACCACTTTTTTCTTTTTCTTTTTTTTTTTTTTTTTTTGAGACAGAGTTTCACTCTTGTCTCCCAGGCTGGAGTGCAATGGCGCGATCTCGGCTCACTGCAACCCCCACCTCCCAGGTTCAAGGGATTCTCCTGCCTCAGCCTCGTAAGAAGCTGGGATTATAGGCGTCAACCACCATGCCCAGCTAATTTTTGTATTTTTAGTAGAGACGAGATTTCACCATATTGGCCAGGCTGGTCTCAAACTCCTGACTTCGTGATCCACCAGCCGCCGCCTCCCAAAGTGTTGGGATTACAGGCGTGAGTCACTGTGCCCGACCAAAAGTTTTACTGCTTTTCTAAATCTCTCTGAAACCATGACACCTAGAACCTAATAAAATACTCCCTAAATGTAATGAAGACATACAGCTTCTTCATCCAAAATCATGTATTTCGATGGGCACAGTGATTCATGCCTGCAATCCCAGTACTTTGGGAGGCCAAGGTGGGTGGATCACATGAGATCAGGAGTTCAAGACCAGCCTGGCCAAAATGGTGAAACCCTGTCTCTACTAAAAATACAAAAATTAGCCGGGTGTGGTGGTGTGCACTTATAATCCCAGCTACTTGGGAGGCTGAGGCAGGAGAATCACTTGAACCTGGGAGGTGGAGGTTGCAGTGAATCGAGATCGCGCCACTGCACTCCAGCCTGGGCGACAGAGTGAGACTCCGTCTCAAAAACAAAACAAAAACAAAAACAAAATGCTGTATTTCTGTTTCTTCTCTTTCCTTCTTTCTTTGGCCAACAGATCACACTGTTGACTTGCACTAAGAGGTCATTCAAAATCCCTAAGTATTATTCTTCATTCTGAAACAATCTTAGACTTAGCAAAAAGGTAGCAAAAATGGTAGAGTTCACCATTACCCAGGGTAGCCCAAATTTTTACATCTTACATAAACACAGTACAATGATCAAAACAGGAAGCTAATGTTATAGGATCCTTAGATGTCACTTTGCCACCTGGAAACCTCTGTAGCCAGTGGCGCCTTTGCCTGAGTTTTGCTTGGGCCCACTGG